TTAAAAATAATCAATGAGCAATTAAAGAAATATAACAATTTTTCTTATTCATATTTTAGAATTGCAATAATATGTTATGATTCCATTTTTGAATTGTTTCATAAAAATATATTTTCACTTCTTCGTCATTTTTCTTATTTCTTTAAGTTACACGATAAAAAAAAGAAAAAAAATATTAATATTTCTTTCAGTTACTATTTCATGGGAACAATTAAAATTGTAGGAGTAGACAATAATATATATATATATATGTAAAGAAAGTATACTTTCTTCAGGTAGATTTGCCACGCGTCTCATAGCCCGCCCTTCCATTGTCCTTTATTATTTACAATTTCTTTTGTGACCAACAAATCGAGTCGTTAAGATTTGAAAGAGAAACGGGCAATATGAAATGTAACATAGAAGAGAAAAGTAACATGAGAGCTAGAAGAAGATACATAAGATAATAGAAATAAAATTTAATAGTGTGAATAATAAACGTTAATCGTCATTTCTTTGTTCACAGGTAAGGCTAATCAGAACTAAGCATTAATTAACAAATAAAGATTTATCACTTTGTTCACAGAGAAACATATTTTCGTTTATCACCTCCCATAATCCATTCGAGATATTATATATATATATATATATATATATATATATATATATATATATATATTAGATGGACCGGAAAGTAATGTCGTTTCTGTGCATATCGATATTTGATTGTCATTTGTCAGCTCATTGTGTACTTTGAAGTCGTGTCAAAGACATTTTAAGGTTATTGTGACTTGTTCACTTCTAATAAATAATTAAATATTAGACTTTTTTTTGCAATTTGGGGTGAAATGGCCAGCCAGATACCAGAAGAGCATATCCGGCATTGTATGCTTTTTGAGTTTCGCAAGTAATGCTTGTTGAGTAACGCAACAGTTGCGACCAAAAACATTTGCGATGTTTATCCAAGTGCATTAGACGTTCGTAAATGCCAAAGATGGTTATCTAAGTTCAGATCCGATAATTTTAATCTCTCTGACTCCTATCGATCAGGAAGATCATCAACATTAGACGATATGCTAAGGGCAGAAGTGGGAGCAAATCCATGTCAGATAATCGAAGAACTCTCAAACACCCTTAATCAACCTTGGTCGACCATCTAAGAACATTTGCAGCAAATTGGAAAAATAAGCAGAGTAGGTGTTTGGATCCCCCATAATCTATCCGAAAAGAACAAAGCCAACCGATTCATCACATGCAACATATTGCTTCAACGGCAGCATACAGAACCGTTTTTTGATCGCTTGATCACTGGAGACGAAAAATGGGTCCTATATGATAATTCAAAACGCAAAAGGCAGTGGCTCTCTTCAAATGAATCACCACGAAGTATTGCGAAGCCGAGTTTACATACCAAAAAGGCGCTTCTATGTGTTTGGTGGAGTACACGCGGAAGTGTTCATTTTGAAGTGCCAAAACCTGGACAAACTGTTATTGCAGATCTTTATTGTGAACAATTGGATCGAGTGAACCAATCTTTAATCAAAAAGTATCCGACGATTGTCAACAGAAAAGGCGTTATTCTGCAACACGACAATGCAAGACCACACTGTGCAAGACGAACCTTGGAAAAAATTAATGTATTGGGGTGGGAGGTACTGCCTCACCCACCATACTCGCCCGATATCACATCCTCGCATTTCCTTTTATTCCGATCGCTACAACATATTCTTAGTGGCAAAATACTAACACATTTATAAGCGGTGTTAGTCCGTGGAATACTTAACTATATACCTCATATAATTTTCCGAAGTCTATAACTAAGTACTGAAAGATCCATCTATTTTAAGGTGTATGAATATAACAAAAATTATTGATTATATTGCTAATATCATACTTATAATTATTTGGCATTTAAAAAAGGGATGACATGATAAAAGTAAAAAGTTCTTATGTCAATTAAAGAAAAGTATTTATGAATATAAATAAATTGAAAGAAGTCGGAATTGCGTATCAATTAGCACTTATTCGATTGATGTACCAATTCTCGAGACGATTTTTGCAGCAGTCATTTCTTATTTCTTCGTCTACTTTTATCGGTACTACCATCATATCGATCTCTAAACGTATAAAAAGTAATTAATAGGAGGAAATAGAATTGTAACTAAATGCAAAAAGACTCGTTAATTTAATAAGAGATATATAATATTAAGTTTTTTCAAAACTTTTCAAAACTTTTATGCGTAAAATAAGAAATACAAATAATAAATAATAATAATAAATTCAATATATATATATTTTTTTTGTTATATTTATAAATGTATATAAAAAGTTCATAAAATAAAGAGTTTATCCGATTACTTGTGAAAGTTAGTCAGTAATCCTGAACTTGCTCTGAGAAAAATACCTGGACTTTTGGTAGAAGAGTGACGTTATTTTAGTCATAAAAATAACACTTTCTGTCCCCCATCTTTCTCAATCTAAGATGGGGAAGTTTTAGTTGATCTTCCGAGATTGAGCGAATGTGTATTAGTCAAAGTAAACCTAGAGAATATGTTCGAAACGAATTATCAATTTTATTTAGAGTGATATTATCTAACTCAATAGAACTTTCAGTAAGATTGAAAGTTTCATCTTCTTTTTCCTTTTGACATTATTTGTTGCATTCTTTTTTGCCTTTTTATATTTTATAAATAAATTCTACATTAAATATCATAAAAATTTTGAAATTAATTTTTTACATTAATGTAATTATTAGCTCGAAGTTGAATAAGAAACATTCTTATGCTGCTATAATATGCTTACTGGCTTATAAAACAATTAACATTTTTTACTGATCGATTCCTCTTGAAAGTACAGGTCTTACAAAAGTACAAAGTGAAGCCTTCTTTCAGGCGCAATATTTACTATTTATATAAAAATTATATAAAAAAAAATCTTAATCTTATTTATGTTAATATAATTACATATCATAATTTAGTTAATATAATTACATATAATTACATATCATACTATACCAATCATAATGTATATTTAAGACACAATAACAATTTTGGATATAAAGATAAAATCAAATTTGTTAAAAAGTAGATATATAAAAATGAAATTTAAAAATTACGTGATATTGTGAAGAGTTAATTTTTCAGAATTCTTTGTATTTATTCCCTTCAAACCTATGTGATTATATTGAAATTAACAAATTGAACGTTCGTTAATAACTGAGGATAGTCTTTTAATATTTATATTAAGAATCTGACAAAATTATCGCATAAGTTAGTATAACATTTCACTTTTACTTACTAAAAAAGATTGACCATTGATGTTCTAAGACAATATATTATTTACGTCTTCAATCATAATTAAGATAATTTTCAATCTAATTGTTTTGCAGTATTAGAACTTTTCAAAAGAAGGATATCAGATAATAATGAAGAATATTGAATAAGCAGAATATTATATAATATATAAAATAATAATTATTAATATATATGTATAAAATATATATATATACTAAACGGTCAATATTAATTATTTATGTATTAAAATTATATATATATATATATATATATATATATATATATATATATATATATACTAGAAATATTAAAAAATATATAAGTCATAATTGCTATTTCACGTATTAAATGTTTTAACATTTGATACGAATACATAAAAGTTTAAAAAGTTTATTTCTATTTACTTTTAAATTAAAATTCAGAGTTTAACATCGAATCTTTACAATAGTTTGCCATAAAACATTATGATGTTGAGTAAACATGCGTTAGTGTCGTGTCAGGTCTCATATGTAAGTATATCAGGGATTAATCAACTTTCATATTATACAATGCTGATGCAAACTTGACACAGTCTTTTCCTGAGATCAGATTTGATTTAAAATTACTTAAAAATATTAAAAAAAACTTTTATCCTATAATAGTAAACCTAAAAAAAATATTATTAATCTATAATGACATATAATTACGTGTAATAATGTACAAAGTACACTTGCTATGTAAAACACATTATTTGCTTTAAATTAATATAAAAAACATAATATACAGTTTCCTTATTAAGAATATTAAGTAATTGAAAATGTTAAAAAAAATTAAATAATTAAGATTTGTTATTAGTTTTTCAAACTAATTATGTAAATATTATAATTCATAACGAATATCAATAAATATGAATTTTCTATTTTATATACAATAACGATTATAGAAATTAACTAATCTTATAAAATAATAAATCAAAAACCGTAAGAATCTATTAACTTAAAAAATAAATTATCGTAAAATAAAAATAATTTACTAAAATCGTTCTTATGTAATTAGCACATTCTGGTTTGATCGTTGTAAACTATTTCATTTTCTACCAATACTTTCATCATATTTATTATAGCTACAAAACAAGCTGTAAGAACCGTATATTTTACTTAAAATTATATTAAGAAAATAATGGCAATGTTACGTGAAAAATAAAGAATACAGAAAGGATGTTTATTTATGATTAGCAATAAGCTAATTCAAAAGAAATTATCTGGCACATATCTACAAAGATACAACACTTTCATTATTATTTATCGTTTATCATTAAACATTTATTCGATTCCAATGCTTTAACTTGAATATAGAAATTAATATATCGAACAATTTATTATAAGTCTAAAATACTAATAATGTAAAATATATATATGATCAAATGATATAGAAAAAAAAATTATATATAATACTATAATATAAAAACGTATATACAATTTTTAAATATTTATAAAAATGACGAATTGAAACGATATAATTATATTAAGATAAGGAATTTATTATAAGCAATCGGTTATAAAAGTAATTGCGAGTCGAAAAACAAATTAGAACAATATATATTATAAAAAAAGTCATTAACTTGATATAAAATAAAAAAATTTCAGTGAATTAACCCTCGGTGGGCCGAATTTTTGTTATAAATCCAAAAAAATTGGGGGAAAGAAAAATCAGCAATTATAAACCTATATATGCAAATGAAAAAAAAAATTTCTGTTTAAACAATTTTATTGCAGTATATTCACTATGTGACTTTCAGGTCACAACGGCCTATAATGTTCGCAATTTTGTGTTTGAAAGCTTAAGCGTGGAATTCCACACAACAGTTGGCACTTGGCGTTAAACATAAATAAATATTACATTTGGAACATTTAATTTTCGGAACTCCTTTACATCCGGTCTTACATACTGCAACGTCCTCTGTTATCCGAAAAAATTGGCCAATGTACCACTTCATCTTTTCGCACGTCTTCTACAGGTAGCGTTATATTTGGTCTTTTTCTTCGTTTATTTTGCAATTTTTTATATACCTCATTTGAAGTAGGACTCCCCCTTTTTTACTGGGTTCCTTTGTGTTCCTGACATAAACAAGATGCAATGTCAGTTTTAAATTTCAATAAACTATACTGACGACCGGGGCTTACAGAATGCGATGAGCAATCTCGCTTATATAAGAGCCAAGCATTGACCACCGTAAAATCTAAGAGGTAAAACATAATGCAATGGTACCACTTTTTTGATCGAATTTTTATTCTTATATATTCTTAAATTCGATACAACGCTATCAACGAATCAACCAAATCTACTCCACCCACGTGTTAGTTGTATGTTTTCACTATATTTGATCGTTATACATCGATCGTTCTGTTTATTTTTTTGTCCCACCTTTTCACTATGTCTACTGGTTCAACTTCGCAAAACGTGCTCATCAAATGAACGGCCTTATTGTCGTACCACTTTACCGCATTTATGGTGACCTTGTCAATAGACGTAGAAAGTATCGGAGTAACTCTTAATTAATTTTGACAATGAAGACAGAACTTTCTGTACCAATACTATTAATATAAAATGATTGGATCGAGTAAAAGAAGAGTTTTTACATTTTAGAATTAATATCGCCACAGATATTTGAATTAGTTGGCAAGTCATGAATGTGTATTCTATTTCTTTTATATTTTTTAATCAAAATATCCATTATACCTTGTAAAAATTGATAAAAATCCTTTCATAGATTTGTCGCTATTTATCTAAAACATAAAATTGTTGTGCAAATATAATTAAAATAGATATATTTAGTATGTCATTTAAAATACTTACTCCAATATTAGCTGTAGAAATAGAACATCTCGCTTGTCTAAATATTCTAAAAATGAATCAATGACATAACACTTCTTACTAAGCAATTGATATAACAAATTCTTTTATTTGTCTTTTTAAATTCCAATAACTCTCTCTTAGATTCAGGAGATTTCATTTTTGAAGCCATTTTTCATTTCATGAAAATAGGTTTTGATTTCATCCTTGTCCTGACGTCTGTAACTTATACAATGAAAGACATTAATATCTATTCTGTTGACTCTTTTAGAAAATCATTTGAATTATAATATAAAATATAAAATTAAAAAATATTATAATTAAAAATATAATTAAAAAATAGAAAACAATATTAAATAACATATAATATTATGGAAAATCACATTTATTTTTGAATAATATCTGAAATGTATCTCTGTCTTTATGACGTGTTGACTTGTTCTTCATTTTGAAAAAGTATTTAAAAATTGTATTTAGTGATTCTAATTTCAATTTATATTTTATAACACAAACTACTTTACTTATTAATTAATATATATTATAGTTCATGCATAGATTCTATAATAATCAATAGATATAAAACTTAAGAGGTTAGAAAAATATAAACCTGGATAAATTTATGATTATTAATATTTGCTTGAATCCTTAAAACATTTATAATAATGTGATAATATATTGCTGCCTTTTAGATTATTTTCTTCATTCTGTTTAAGCCTTTCTACTTAGCAGAAAAAATAAAACAACTGACTTAAGCGATATTGCTGTAGTAACTCGTACTCTTACCATGGTGGCGCTCTTGTATTATTCTAATTTTCGCGGGATGTTCGATTCATATTTGCTTTTCATAATCCGATTTTATAATTTTTTACAATCTTTAGAAGTAGAACTTCCTGATTTATTGACACTTTGTATTAATCACATTTATGTACCCGATCGATAATTTCTGTCGTACTTACGCACAATATAAAGGGATATTTTCGAGATCGTAGTTGAATGAATAACATAAAATAAATAAATTAAAAAAATAATTTTATGTTGTTATTTCTATAATTTTTATATTTGTGATATTTATGATTATATATATTTTTATATTTTGGGTTTATATCTTATATTTTTATTTGGACAAAAAACTTTTTTCAGTCCAATTTGGTAACTTATAGGCTTTATAATCTATAGACGCTCTCTTCATTGATCTTGATTTTTTAAAATAATTATCAATTTTATCTTCAAAGTACGTTTTATTAAGTAATCTTTGATATCGATATCTTTTTAAAAATACAAAACTGAGAGCGGTTAACGTAGTAGTACATCTTTCTTAAATAAGAATAAGAATAGTACAAAATAAAGAAAGAATGCTTTGCCTATATGTAAAGTTTAGCAAATAAAAGTAAAGTAGTAGTTTATAATTATTTTTCAAATATCTGAAGTTTTATAATTCTAAATCTGTTTGAAATATTAATCTAATTCTTAAGAATGGTTGAAAGAACTCGAAAAGTAAAAAGAACTAGTACGATAGAGAAATAATAAGGATCTTTAAGTTCATATTTACGTTTAGATTTACAAATCGATTGGAAAGGTAAAAATGTTTCGAGAGATGTCAAGTAAACGAAATATTACGTTATGGACTTGGAATTATTTGTCGAGAACGTTCACACGCCCTCGCCAATTCGAAAGTTCTACGTCAGAGTATTTTTGAAATACTCACAGTGAAAGAGGATTTATAGGAAAACTATTGACCGAGAAATTATTAACGGTATGTATCGGGATTAGATATATTTATATTATAATTCAACAATATTCAATTTTATTTATTATTTTCAAATTAATATTTCGTTGCGTTTCCTTAATACGTATATATTTTCTTAAGTATTAAATGAAAAATTTTCCAATAAATCTATCGAATCATGTTTAATTTTTAAGAAATGAGTTACATCTTATTCGTGACTAAGGATGGAAGAGAGAATCCAGTTTTCGGCAAATCGTTCCATTTATTGCACATATATAAATGAGTCTCCTTTAAGAGAATATTTTATACATTACGATATACATAACAATATTGAATTCGCATTAATCTCATTAGAACAACTGTAATTCCTATTAGTCCATACTCATTCTCAAATAAATTCTCGATCCGTTGATATTACTAGAAATATTACACTAATTAAATGTAGAATATTTGTTGTCTTGTTCTACAAGGCTTACGTTATTATCTTAAACGACCTATTTCTGGACGAAATATTGAAATATTTGTTATTATGTTATTGAGTCAACATGCATATTTACAAGATTTTCAGCAATTGATTTCGTAAATAAGTAAATATATTCAAAGTAATCTAAAATCCAAAAATTCTATATCTTATCAACCGATACATAAAATCTATTCAATTAATATTTTTTATAAATGAATGTGAAACTAATATAGACGTTCGATACTCGGAAAAATAAACGTACCGCAGTTTAATATCGTAGAAGTGTTTTTCGATTATGTACTCCATCAAATTAATCAACTTATCGATAAATCATAAAATTTCTCGATCAAAATATGAAAACAATAAGCTGTTGAAGCAAGGACAAAACTTTTCTACCTCAAAAATAATGAACGTTTAATAAAATCAGACATTTCATTAAAATATCTTGACAAGTCATTAAAACAGATATAGGATAAAGATGGTACCTTCAATTTACGCGTTTCCTTTGATAAGTTTATTGCATTCTAGAGACCTCGAACAATTGATAGCTTTCGTCGATTTCTTTTTCAAATTTAAATTATTTTATTGAGATATCGAAAATCGACGATATACAACCATTCTTGATTGTGACTATATGATTTCGGAATTCTAATTGCTCCTCTTGTAAGCCTTTCGGTAATTAGAAAGCGCACATTAAGCCATTAGTGGTCATTGAAACCAATTATCGTGACCACTAGTTATTGATAAAACAAAAATTCGTGCTAACAAAACGAAGCGTTAAAAACTTGGCTATTATTTAAATATCTTTTTATTAACGCGCCGTATGCGAGTGACATCTGTGAGTGTAATGATATTAGGCGTGAGTAATCGTACGAATATATTCAACCACGTATTTCTGCGTTCTTATAAATATTGTTTTCTTATCCGTTTAATTATATGATTTATTTCTTTAATCGATGTATATAAAGTTATCATTTCCTTCTTCAATATTCGTGACAGATTATTGGATCAATATTTTTGTCACATAAGTAACAAAATACACATTAATTTCGCGAGTTAAATCAGCAGAAAGAAAAGACACGTGCAGGAATCATTTACAAAATAGTCAAAGATGATATCTCGCGAAGAACGGGATCAATTTAACAGGAATGATTTTCTATTTTGGAAATTTCATCAGAAAACTATTTCTGAATATGGAATTGAAGATCTGATGGTTGAAATTCAAAGGTAAGCTAACGATCCGGAAAATCAAAAGGTGAGGTAATGGATACAAAAAAACGTGCGTATCGTGTGTCTTATTTTGTCTTCAATCGTCTAACGCACATTAGAATATTTGATTAGGAACTTAAATGTATGTGAATTATGGAAAAAAAAAATAATTGTTTTATTTATGAAATGAAAATAAACTCATATAAGTTGACGCTAATGAAGAAGTTTCATTCTGTTATGTTTCACGTGTTAAGGGTCAAAGAGAGGTCACATCAAACGAGAGAGATCTGAGGAAGAAAATTATTGAACTTGTAGATCTTGTTATGATTTTGAAGACAATTTGCCAACGATATAACACAAATAACAGGTGATAGCATTCCAGTAGGTGATCAAACGATCAAAAGATTCCAAGATAAATTCATAAAAGGATCGGATGGTGTAAGAAATGAAAGAGACATGTACCTTGTCAGCGACAACGACAAGTGAAATGACGGAAGAAAACAAAAACTGAAAATGGAAGGCAAAGAAGAAAGTTATGATACGAACAGGTAAAAATAAATTCTTTATGTGCAAATAATCAAATAATTTCGGGAAATAATAAGAAAAAAGGATTATAAACTGATAGATGACGAATCGATTAACGCTTTTGTTATCACTGACGGTATCAATCATAGATAGATACTAGAGTTATCAATAATATTGGGTCTCGGTAAATTTTGCACAGCCTTGAATGATTTTTTGAATTAAGACTAATTATCTTTTGGTAAGAATTCGTGTTATCACACAAGTTTGCTGGTTTTCGATAATTAGAATTAAAAAGTTCATTAATAATAAATATGGGACAATGTACGAGTAAATAATATAACTCTTAGTACGAAATTAAACAAAATCTAATATTCAATTGGTATTTTCAATTGGTAATCGAAATGTTTCTTAGTTAATTTCGAAGAAAATTTTGTTTAAATTTTACGAAACGGAGAAATAATGATTAGTGGCATCAAACAGAACAATAAAATCTGCCCAGGATATTATATCCGGAACCGGTATACATTGCAGTTTACTCGCTTAACCAAATGGAATACGATGATCCTGAGAAGATGACACCGCACGATGCCTGGCCAAAAGAGAAACCCAGAATACAATGACATATAAAGGTATTCGAATCGAAAACTTATGTCCATATTGTTGTTCAGACAAATGCTGGACAAGAAATCCAGAAAAATTATGATGATTGATTACTAGGAGTCTTTAAATCAATGGCTATTTGATTACGTGAAAAAGAAAATTATCGAATCCAGGGAATTTCGAGCAATTTTAAAAACGTTTTCATCATACACATTGATTTTGATCCTTTCTTTATCTTTACTTTTCTACGATTTTTATTCGTCCGCTAACGCGTTAAATTTCCATTGCCTTTTAAAAGGATCAATATCAAAAATCGGATTATCTTCTATATACTTTTCAGTCAGATTTCTTTGCTTTTTTAGTTTTATATTCATATGACCACATAGTAACGATTAATTACAATTATAGAAAGATATTTATGATGGTTATTACGATCACCGATTACTGTATGAATACTGTATAATAGAAGATTTCGTTATTAGAAAGTGATTGGTCCATTTCATTCCAGAGAACGAAATGAACAGAAATAAACAAAAACAATATGTTCGTGTATATAATGTCCTCACTTTTTTCCACATGACGATGCCAGTTTATTCTACGAATTCAAATAAAAGAAAAATGTCACGTAAATATAGGCTCAAAAATGCTTCTTTATAAACATATAACAATAACGGGAAACAACAACGAACTAGTTTTCGTTTTATATAATTTATATTATATTAATAGATTGACGGTAGTTATCTAATCTCTTTACAAATGCTATGTTTATTACTTGAGATCATTGAAGAGATTAATGTAATTAATTAGAGATTAATAGAAATTAATTCTGTTGAAATCAGTAATCATAATGTATATGGTATATCAATATACCGCGTAAGTTTTTAAATCATTAATATGCCAATACATATTTTATTTATGATTTTATTAATGAAACTGCTCTAACTATTGTACGGGAATATCAACGAAGATTCCTTCATCGAATCATCCTGGATGTTATCAATCTGTTTTCGTAACATATCGAACATTTCGAAAAATAATCGATAAATAATATTTTACTTTTGTTATAAATTTTTAACATTAATTTTTATATCATTGTGATTTCATTACTTCCATAAATTGCTCAAATTATGTAATTTTGTTTTCACTCAAATTCATCTATAGGTCATAGTATCATAACTCGTCCGATTTACCTTAGCTATTATGTTGCGGTGGCGGAATATGTGCTATGCAAAAAAAACGTCGAACATTATAAAAT